AGAACGGAAATATAAAAATTTTACTTTCTGAGACACTGTCCTCCTTGATAGAATTACAAAACGTATACACATAGGTGCTTTAAGTCAACCATGTCTACACAGTTGCGAACGTAGCCGGGTGATACCATAAGCAAAAGAGAACGTTCCACGTTTTCAGAAACTTGGAAAGACCCGTATAATAATATTCAAAATTATTAAACTTTAACAATGCATAACTTCCGTATCATATCGTAACTGATGAATTCCGACAATCAGGACTTTATGTTCCCTCTGTTCTCACCGATTACAATCAGATTTTGCAAAAAAGTTTACCTAAAACGAAGTTTCACCAAACCCACAGCAAGTAAATAGTATTAGCCTAGAAAAATCATTTCGTGATATGATTATAAATAAATAATTCCTAAGCGATAATCTCTTTTTTCGGAATAAATCATACTGTATAGTTTTCCTTTTCCAATTGCAGATGCAGCGAAACGTCGCATCATGTCGCGAATTACGAGTGAATTCAACTTACACAAAGATTCTATACCGCATCGGTATCTCGCGTTTGCGGAGTACAGACTTGAGTCTTCCCTTGTTCCACGAAAACTGCGTCCCGAATACGCGAGTTCCGTGTCGAATCCGTAAATACTCTCGCAATCGCTATTGTGCGCCACGTAACAGGTACCGGGGAAAGTTTCGATTAATAGGGCTGCGGGAAAACGCGAGGGAACCTTGAGGGAAATTTGCTGGGAAGGAACGAGGATACTTACGCGAGCCCGAATTTTCCTCGAATTTCGCATTCATGCGAGTAACGGTTTTGCAACGACGCTCCTATTCTCTCCTGGGATATTTTTCGTCCGGACGAAATTACTTTTTGTCGCGACGACAACGTATGTTGCTGGTTTATTCAGTCCCGGACATCGGCTAAACTACGTTTTGGGGCATATTCCGTTTTTAATTTTTTTTACATTTTCTGATAGTAACCGACCAAAAAAATACGAAATATAAAATTTCGGTTGTCGAAATTTACAATAAATAATTACTTCCTTTGATTATACACTCAAATTATCAGCATAGAGTTCGTAGAGTTTTATTTGTTATTCAATAGGCAGGGAATAATCAACTATAATATGAGACAAATTGTGGCCGGAACAGGTCAGTTTTATGAGTTAGGATTGTGTTGTTCAGACGGGAAAGCAGTTAAAATTGCCTGCAGAGGAAAGTTTGCCTCGACTCGATCGACGAGTAAAGTTCGCGCCACAAAATGGGGAAGGAAGGAAGGAAACTATCTTAAATTTTAATGCGACGACTCAGAGATTCTACTTACGCGCTGCTTGATGGTCTCACGGTACCTCGTTAACAAATCAAGCGAGAAAATTAGTTTCTTTCTCAAATTAAAGAGTTATAAGGCTTTCTCAAATCAAAACCTTGATGCTTCTTTAGTCGAGATATACGACATAGAATAATTTATACCACTACGGGAAGAGGGACTGGTATCGTTTAATTCACGTTATTCTGGTTTTGTGTTATCAAACATTTTAAAAAATACTCGAGTTGTACATCAGATGATGAAATGAAAGAATTATTGCATGAAAGCGTGCCCTTCTCTATCATAGGCGAGGTATGATTTTTGAACAAGGGACCCGGAAACGAGCCACGTATTCCTATTTTCGTGATTTGCGGCGAGCTGAGCGCTAGGTTAAAATGGTTTTGGTCCACGACGGGTAGAGATCGAATTGATGGTGGCTGTCTGGCAATAATACGATATCTTGAATCTACCGATTTTGTTAACAGACACGTATGTATACTCTTGGTTACAAATCACCGAATAACATCGAGTATAGTCGAATGAAATGTAAAAAAATATCTCCAAATAAAATTACCTTTGTAATGCATTAAATATATGTATAACAGATTTTAAGAAATTTTTTTATAAATTCCATCCTTAATTCATTTACTTTCGTAGTTGGTCATTTTAAAACAGCAAAAGAGTTGTGTTCAAATGACAGTCCTCTAATAATTCTCTTAGTTATAAAGTTCAATTTTTCTATTGAAATTCCCAAGAAAATATCGTTATATTCTCTTCAGTCAGGTAATTTGATTTTCAGTCTTATACGAACTTATAGTAAGTCTTTTAACGATTTTCTTCTGAATAGTGTCCAGGATTTATGAATGAACGTGTATATGTGCGTTCGCATTGCAAACGGACGAGGTAATAAACTTTGTAATTAGCAGAATGGACTGCGTGGACTCAGGCGCATGAATACGCCCGTCCACAGTTAGTTGACTCGAAATCACGGACGAGAAACGTAATAACGAGAATGCAAATATGAAACAAACATGTATATTTATCAAAGATTTACGCCTTCTACATTTTGTAAGCTGTTTTTTTGCACGGTAAATTCACACCACGTTAACTAAAATGATGAGAAATAAAATAAACAGTAATTATGATATGAAATCTGGAAAACTTAACAAACCCGCGACACAATGAACTGTTTTTGAAATATCTATTAAGCCACAGGCACACAAACACACGCGTCAAACTTATGACATCCACTGAACAATTTATCTTATTATTTGAATTTACGTATTGTTCTTTAATTATACTAAATTCTTTATTATAAATTAATATTGATTTAATTTGTAATAATGTCAAAATCCATTAGAATGAAATATACTTAACAAAATGGAAGCCGTTCAGGAATAAATGAAAAACACGTACGCAGTTAGTTTTTCAGCGAGTAAAACCTATTTCAATTCGAGTGATTCGGTTCTGCAATTTTTATCGATACATTCTCCGTATTTAATGACCGTATTTGTATTTCCAACAGATACGGCTCGTTTGGAAATCAATAAAATCTGGTTTACTCTAGCTTCGAGAGCGCACGAGTGGAATATTAAATTTTCTCTTTGGCCGAAATCGCGAATAACGTTATAAACGTTCGCGGCATATTCGAGCGACGTCGTTTAAACTCATTCCAATGTTCAAAGAATGAATTCTCTTTCGAGGCGAAAATAGACTGTATTTTCAACATCTGAATTTATCGTTGCCCATTTGGGGATGTTTTGATTAAATAAAGTATGAGGCAAACCAAGGGTCTATTTAATAGTTTCGAGTTAGAACAATATTTTCTTTTTAAATTAAACAATTTTCGTAATCGTAACGGAGAGCAGGAGGAAAGAAGAAAGAGAAAAAAGAAAAATAGGTTTTTTACGCCCATTGCCGAGCTCCACTTTCCCCAAAAAGTGCACTCTGCTGAGAGTTCTGTTGATTTATCAAGAGTTCCGCCTGAGAGTACGATGTTGCCTGAGCAAGCCTTCTTTTCATGCCGCTCTTTAGATTGTGTTGGGTGTTCCCGTATCTTCGGTAGAAATCAACAAAAATAAAAAATATATAATTCTTTACATAAATTTTTATTTACTCAAATGCATAATTGTATCACCTACATTTTTTATACTTTCTGTACATAAAATTTGTCTATAAATAAATAAAAACTGCAGTGTTAGATTTATGTGTTCGATACTTGATGAATTAATTACGATCTTCAAGCCTTTCGATTTTTTTCTTCCAATTCTGCATTCGCGAAATGAGTGGGTCAGATAATGAACGAAAAAATGTAGGTGAAAAGTTTGCGGCGGTGCTTATGACGTGAAAAATTTCTTAACGGGTCTTTGGCAAGCGGATGCACGATTTTCGCTGACTGTTCTTATATACAGTGTTCGTTCCCGTTGTTAAAAATTTCACAAGTTCGGAGGTCGGATTAAGCGAGGAGATGATTCTCGGGCGAAGTGGTGTGAGTCTGCAACTCTTGCAGCAATGAACTCGGCTCGCGAGCCTTCGAGGTATGCCTGTCGCCGAAAACTGGCAAAAGTCCTGAACCCTCACTTGTAACCCGTATATTTTCGCATCTACAAAATACAAATCCTTGCCTCCAGGGAAAGCCCCCTCCCGGAAAGATATTTCTCTATCTGTCAAC